ATATATAAGTAACAACTGAACCTTATCGATGTTATAATATGAATCAGACTTCTGTATACTTTTAACTTCTTGTATATTGCTCTTAGTAAATAAATTACACACACTTGGTCTTTTGTAGACTCAAACAAACTTTTACAATTCTAAAACAGTAAATTAAAAACATAACTGCTACATAACTACTAAATAGAACTATTGTCTTTCCTACAACCATACTTAATAGTAATCATTTATTTCAAACACATTTAATGTTTGTTTCAATAAAACTCCTCTTTAAACATTAAATGCTTGTTCGATCAAGCATCCCAATCATCTTTCTGCCTCTTTCGAATACTTCCTTTGATAGTGGTTTTGTGAAGATATCTGCTGATTGGTTTATGCTTGCTACATGCCTTAGTTCCACGCTTCCCTCTTTCACATGTTCACGTATGAAGTGAAATCGAACGCCTATATGCTTGCTTCGTTCATGATTGACTGGGTTCTTTGCCAATTCAATAGCTGATTTGTTGTCCACTTGTATTATTGTTGGACCTTCCTGTTTCAGCTCCATCTTGCTTATCAACCTTCTAAGCCATACTGCATGGCAGACATGCCAGGATGCTGCCACATATTCTACTTCACACGTTGAAAGTGTCACTATAGGCTGCTTCTTTGATAGCCATGTAAAAGCTGTGTTTCCCATGAAAAACACATATCCTGCAGTGCTCTTTCGATCATCAATGTCTCCACACCAGTCACTGTCAGAATATCCAACTAGTTTGTAGTCTTCAGTCTTTAAATAAAACATCCCAAGTGATACTGTTCCTTGGATGTATCTGAGAATTTGTTTCAGCGTTTTCCAGTGTGTGTGAACTGGCTCCTCCATGAATCTGCTCACTATGCCAACACTTAGTGAAATATCTGGCCTTGTGCATGTGAGATATCGAAGGCTGCCTACCAAGCTTCGATATTTGCTTCGTTCGACCCGTTCTCCTCCATCAAACTTCGACAGCTTTGTACCTGGCTCCATTGGCGTAGAAGTTGGATTGCAATTCTTCATCTTATATTTTTCTAGAATTTCCTTTGCATACTTTTCTTGTGATATGAAAATCCCAGCTTCTTCCTGTCGAACCTCCAGACCAAGAAAAAATCTCATCAGACCTAAGTCTGTCATTTCGAATTCTCTTGTCATGGTACTTTTGAAGTCTTCGATCATCTGAACATTACTGCCTAGAAAGATAAGATCATCAACGTACAGAGCCACAAGTAATAACTCACTTCCATTTTTCTTTACATAGAGGGCTGGTTCATAAGGGCATTGCTCGAATCCACTCTCCTTAAAATATGTGTCAATGCATGTGTTCCATACCCTAGGTGCTTGCTTCAGCCCATACAATGATTTCTTCATTTTCAGCACCTTCTTCTCTTCTCCAGTCTTCATATAACCAAGTGGTTGTTCGACATAGATTTCTTCTTCGAGTACGCCATTCAAAAATGATGTCTTGACATCCATTTGAAATATTTGCCATTTGAACTGAGCAGCTTGAGAGATGAGTAATCGAATTGTCTCCATTCTTGCAACAGGCGCAAACACTTCGTCATAGTCAATGCCAGCTTTCTGCTTGTATCCCTTTGCAACCAGTCGTGCCTTGTATCTTTCGATCTCTCCTTGAGCGTTCATATTTTTCTTAAATACCCACTTTACACCAATGGGTTCACTTCCTTTTGGTAATTCGACCAGCTCCCAAGTTTTGTTGTGTTCGATTGCTTTAATTTCTTCGTCCCTGGCGCTTTTCCACTTCTCATCTCTTAACGCTTCTTCAACACTTATGTTTTCAGCATCTGCCAGAAGACACACAAGATGCACCTCACTTGTTGAATCATACAGATCTTGCAAACTTCTCATTCTGGGTTGTAGAGGTTCATCTCTATCTTTTGTTTCTTCATGTTCTTCTGGAGTGTTTGTTGGTACAGATATAGTTGTTTCTTCGACTGTATCAACAACCTCTATCGAACTGTTCCAGTCCCACTTGCTGGCTTCATTCATTCGAACGTCTCTGCTTACAATCACTTTCTTACTTATGGGATTAAAAAGCTTGTACCCTTTCGTCTTCTCATCATATCCAATGAATATGAACTTCTGACTTTTGTCTTCAAGCTTTGTTCTTCGTTGGTCTGGTACATGTGCATAAGCTATGCTACCAAAAACTATTAGATGAGAGATTGTTGGCTTCTGTCCACTCCATGCTTCTTGTGGTGTTTCGTCTTCCAGCTTCGAATGTGGACACCTATTCTGAATGTAAACAACACATTGTACTACTTCTGCCCAGAACTCTTTCAGCATACTCTTGCTTTTAAGCATTGATCGAACCATGTCAAAGATAGTTTGATTCTTCCTTTCAGCCACACCTGTAGCATTCGAAATTTGAATAATTCGAACGACCACCTCTTTGGCCACGTCCTCTGCCACGCCAGTTTTGTTGGCTCGAATTTCCTCTATCGAAGTTACTGCCACTACCACTTCGACCACTGTCACGTCCTCCACGTCCACGTCCTCTTCCTCGAAAATTGTTCGAAAAGAGTACTTTTTCATCTTTCGATTCTTTTGTTTGGTTTGCTTCTTCTTCTGCCTCTTCTTTCTTCTTCATCTTTCTTTGTTCATGTGCTTCGAGCGAACCAGTGAGCTCTTCGATTGAGAGCGTCGAAAGGTCCTTCGATTCTTCTATTGCACACACCAGATTTTCAAACTTGTCTGTTAAATATCTTAAGATCTTTTCAACAACTCTTGCATCAGCTACTGTCTCTCCATTTCTTGTGAGTTGATTCACCACTTTCTGCACACGAGTGATGTAATATGATACATTTTATGTATCCTTCATTTGTATCCTCTCCAATTCGCCACGAAGCATTTGGAGTCGAACCTGCTTCACTCTATCTGCTCCTTTGAACACCTTCTCTAACGTGTCCCACGCTTGTTTCGACGTAGTCGAACTAGCAATCTTCTTGAAGCTTGATTCATCCACAGTCCTGAACAACATATATAGTGTTGTTTTGTCCTTCGCTCACGTCTCTTTCAACGCCTTCGTTTGGGCTGCTGTATATCCTCCAATTTCTGTTGGTTCTTCAAACCCATCATTGGTCACTTCCCACGCATCTAGAGATCCAAGAAGAGCTTTCATTTGGATGCTCCAGTTTTCATAGTTTGACTTCGTTAGCCGTGGTAACGGCATTTGGTTCATCATGTTCGCCATGAGCTCTGATACCAAATTGTTATAATATGAATCAGACTTCTGTATACTTTTAACTTCTTGTATATTGCTCTTAGTAAATAAATTACACACACTTGGTCTTTTGTAGACTCAATCAAACTTTTACAATTCTAAAACAGTAAATTAAAAACATAACTGCTACATAACTACTAAATAAAACTATTGTCTTTCCTACTACCATACTTAATACTAATCATTTATTTAAAACACATTTAATGTTTATTTCAACAATCGAATGACTTAAGACATGAATGAACTTATCCGTGTGAACACACAAATCTTCTACTTGTATTCTTATATGAATAAATTCAACCACCTATAAGTTTCTACTATATTCATATTTATTATTATTTTTTATTTAATAATTTAAAATTAAATAAATTCTCAACCATCAAAACTTCATTGAGACTTATCCTTATTAGGGGGTGCGGCTGAGTTCATTTTTCTCGATTTCTCTTTTTGCTCTTGCTGAGGTGGTTTATGTTCTGAGGTGGTTTAGGTTCTGATGTAGTTGCTCTCTATTGTGTTCTAGCAGTGCTTCTGCATTGCTTATGGTGTATTCTATTTTTACATTGCTTATGGTGTATTAAAATGGAAAATATATTTCTGGTGCACATCAAAATTTGATAAACTATATATTAGAATGGGAATTTAATTTCCGATTTTGACCCGGAGAAATAATTTCGGTTTTGTGCTATACAGAAACCAAAAAAACATCATTGAATAACACCAATATCACAACTGGTGCAGAATCGAAAGTAATATCTCCGATTTTATTTTTACAAGGGTGAAACCACATTTAACCTGTTTTTATAAAATATATGATATAGAGTTTGGCGATCCCATGAAAGCAAGCAAAAACTCAGATTTAGGTGAGAATGGTGAGACTGCAGAGCAAAAACGGTTGGAGTGGTAGGATCTGTGTTCCTGCCGTTTTAGGCTGTTTCAAGTCATTAGAATACCTCTCCAATCCAATTTTTTTGTTGAGCTGGTAGTGGTTTGTGGAGTTGATTGGGATGGATCGAGCCATGTTGTTTTGTTTGATGATTTCCCGATTCTTGTTGCTCATTTTGCTCTTGTATCTTGTGTTTTGTTTATAAATCTATGTCGTTAAAAGAAAAAATACACTTTGATACATGAACTTAAGTTCAAAAATACATATTTTTTTAAATTTTATTTAACTTTTTTAGTATTATTATTTTATTTCTTTTGGTTTCGCTGAAGAATGCTATCTTGTTCACTTTTAAGCAACAAATTGTTTTTTACAAAAAAAAAAAACATAAATTACTATTATGAAAAGAATAGTATAAAAATGAGGCATAGATGTAAGGGGCAGATTACTATAATAGGGGATATATTTATTTGGCTGGTCAGTCAGCTTTGAAAATTACAATTCATGCAAACAACTGCAGACACATGCATATTGACGGAGTGCCTTACAGCTGAGGCTTATTATACAACGAAAACACAAATTAAATATATAAAAGGAACCCTCTAAACAATATTAATCAAACACTGACAAAATATATACGTGAAGAATCCCCTCGATCTTCTTTATTCATGGCTTTCTTTGCTTTCACACTTTTTGTTTAGATCCTACACAAATACAAATATATATTGATATGTCAGTTTGTATTGATACTCTAATCCATTAATAATCAAATATTGTAATAGAAAATTAATTTACGAGAAATGCAGACTAAAATATTAAAGAATGTTTCATTACCATATAGTGTGATGGCAATGATAAGCTATCTAGTGGTGGTAAGGTGGAGGAGGTGATTTGTAGTAATAGGCTGGTGGAGGAGGAGAACGGTAAAGCGGATGGGGAACATGAGGTCGGTAGGTGTGAACCGGTGGTGGTGGTGGTGATGGATACTTGTATGGCTTCTTGTGTGGTGTTGGTGGTGGTGGAGAGTGGTAGACAGGGTGAGGATGAGGGTAGGTGTGCACCGGTGGTGGTGGGGGAGATGGGTACTTGTATGGCTTCTTGTGTGGTGTTGGTGGTGGTGGTGGAGAGTGGTAAACTGGGTGTGGGTGTGGGTAAGTGTGAACCGGTGGTGGTGGAGAGTGGTAAACTGGGTGTGGATGAGGGTAGCTGTGAACCGGTGGAGGTGGAGGAGATGAGTAATGGTATGGATCTTTTGGTGGTGGTGGTGAGGAATAAGAATAACGGTTTGCTGAAATTTCAGAAGGGAAACTTAGAAAGAGTATGGCTAATGCAAGAGTGAGAGAAGCATAAGCCATTAGGGACCTCATTGTTTTTCTTGCAAGTGTGTTTTGGTTATGTGAAAGAAAGGTGGTGCAACCCCATTTTATAGGTAAATTCTTAAAGCATCTTGGTTAGTTAACTTACCTTCTAGGAACAAATATAGTACTATAGAGAGGTGGCTCTCTATCTTGGAATTATTACCAATTCTTATTGACTTTTAGACCAGTCCTACCCTATTTTTTTTGGAACAAATATGATTACTCAATGTCCTGATTTAGAAGTTATATAATGTATGACATCAGATTATCTCTCTATCTTAGATCAATAAAATATTATTTGTGATATTATAGTATTATAGGATAATTTATATTGATCATATGGTCTTGATAATCAAAAGAACTATAAGATCAATAAAGAAAATAGAATTTATATAATTATCTCAAGGCATTAGTGTTGTCACTGCACTGTCTTTGAGTAATGTATATTTTGAATAGTGAAATATGAGAACAAGTTTATGGACCAAAAATTATTTATAGGTTTGATTTTAATTTTATCATCAAAACTTAAAAAAGTCATTCATCTAATGTAATAACTATTAAACTTGAGACTCTTAAAGGATTAAAACTCCTAGAACCTATGGAACACTTAAATATGAGTTTTTTTTTCTAACAATCAATTTATGGAAATAACTTTAGTATTATATTCTACCCCACTTGGTTCATATGATATATTTAAGAAATTACTAATTCCACTTTAAACTAGGGAAAAACATCATATAAAAATTCGAAAATGTCATTCGGATTATGGAAATATATTTTTTGCACGCACTAAAAATACATCAAATACATGTGTAAGTGAATCACATTTTAATTTTATAAGTAAAAAATAGTCCTGAAATATATTATCGAAAAATTTGTTTTCATTACTCTATCTCAGCTGTCGGTGCTTTAACTCAATTTCAAAGCAACAAATTTTTTTTCTAGTTGTTATGGTTGTTAACAATTTTTCGCAACTCTTTCTTAGCCTGATGTAGGAGGGTTGACTGTGTGTATCGAAGGAAAAATCGTGCGTCGGGACGGTTCGGCATAATTGCGAAAGTTTGGTGTCTTATGTCAGAATTTGATGTAGGAAGGTTGGTTGTGTGTATCGAAGAAGAAATCCCGCATCCGAAAGCATTTTAGTATTTAAGCAATATTTTTTGTTTTAATATTTAAGCAGTTTCTATTTTAGTTAATTATGTTTTAGATTAAAGGCCCATATGGTCCAACCCATAATAATTATTTTGTTTTATCTATTTATAGACCTTTGGCGTGACCACAAGGATTATCTTTTCATTATAATAAAATTTTGAAGTTTTCTTTGTTCTAGTGGATTCCAGCTTATATGACAGGTTCTGCGTTTGCAACTCCGTATTTTTATTCTAGATTTAGCGCTTGTTATTCCCTAGGGCTTTCAATTGCGTCAAAATTACTCGTATTATACCTTTTTGGAAACGGAATCGACCCTGCCTCCCATGAGTTCAACTCACTGATTTGCAGTGACATATAGTTTTTTAAACCATTTAAGTTCGTTTTAGACTTGAAATCAGTAGTTTACTATTTTGTTTTATTTAGGATTTGATTCTATTTTGGATTCGATTCTGTTTTAGATTATAAGATATGATCTTGTTTTAGATTAAAATATTTTTTGGTTTTACATTAAAAGTCCATTAGGGTCTCTTTAAGCCCATTAGGTTTTGCGCTTGCAAACCTGTTCTTTATTCTAGGTTTAGCGCTTTCTATTTCTTAGGGATTCCGACTGCGTCATAGCCATATATAAGTCATTGTATCATTTCAATTACTGAAAAATACAATCTTGTTTCGTAACTTGTTTTTCTTGATATGATATGAGTGATATCTTAACAAAAAAAATCTTTTCTCACACCATTAGAAGACATAAGTTCTTCATCTTCGTCCAATTCACATCACGATTCTTCAATTCATCACACAAAAGATTCATCTACATCACAATAGTATAGCAGGAGGGAGGCTAAAAAAATTTCTTTTCACACACCAATAGAAGACATAAGTTCTTCATCTTCATCCAATTCAGACCATGATTATTCGATTCGACACACAAAAGATCCGTCTACACCACAATAGTATAGAAGGAGGGAGGCTCAAGAATTTTGTGGTTCACCGATTCTGGAAATGTATTTTCGGAGACATTTCAAAAATACATTTCAGGAATAAATTTAGTCATAAAATTTGGGCATGACTAAAAACAAATGAATTGTATGTGTTTGGGTTGCGTCGGAGATGCATCTCACATCTTGGAAATCTAAGAGCAGTTTTAGTTTTTTCACGAGGATGTGGTAGTAATTAGGCATGGCAGCGGGTCAGGAACAGTTCTTACATCCCATAAACCCAAAGTTGAGTCCTTAAACAATCATGGTTCCCCGCTCCAAACCTAATACTTCCAACTGCATTAAGGCTACCCCCATTTTCAGATGCTCTCATTTTCTGTTTTTTCAGATCTTGGCTTAAAAGCAGGTGTATCCAAGTAGACAAGAAGTTCATCAAATACTCCATTGCTTATGCAATTAGGATAAACATTTCGTTCTTCCTAACAACAGTTAGGGTATGTGTGTGGGATGAGGGTAAGGAAAGCTAGATCCCCTGGGTTGTATGAAGGATGAGGGTATCTGTATGGGGTATAGAAAGCTAGATCCTTTGGATGGGCTAATAAAAGTTGGACTCTCATATTGGAATATAAGATAATCATGAGGAGAGAGTAGTTTCATAAGAGGTTGATAATTGGCCATGGACATACGATCTACTTGACTCCATGGGGGAAGACACACGGTTGACTGAGGTGTCTTACATATTGTTACCCTCAGGTGCTAATGTTGAGTCTTCTTACCACTATCCTTACCCTTATCAGATCAGAGTGACATTTTATATATTTTTAGAGAACACACATTTAATAAATTAACATAATATATACGACTAATTCATCAACACACTTAATAAATCTAACAATCACATTCTCATCAATATATGTTCATTAACACATACAATACATGGTTCATTAAATAAAATTACAAAAACAATTTATTCAAAATATCCATGCTCCCCATCCTTATTATTCTCATTATCTTATGTGATATTGTCCTCTGATCCAAACTCTTCATGCTCTTTATCCACATTATTTTCTACCCACAATATAGACGCATCAATTTGATGCCCATTAACCACGGTATCACACAAACTTTTAATTTCTTCAACTTCGATCACAATATTTATTTGAGAAATTTCATCAACTTGGTAAGCAACATCTTCCACTAGATAGTCAGTTTCAATATGACCCAATGGTTTTGTTTTGATTACAACACACCACCCTTGTTTATGTGGCACAATTGAATGATAAGGAACATAATAAACTTGCCTAACAATATATGACATTATGAAAGGTTCATACTCTTTGTACCTTTGGTCCATTTGAATCTCAACATTATTATATGTCTTATCTATTTTGTGCCTCAGGCAGGTGGATCGTACCAATCATAATAAAATAAGACAACTTTATTTTTTGAGTCCAAATAATTGTATACCAACTTGTATATATGTTTAAAAAGGCCATAAAAGTAGTCTTCACCACCATCTGTAACTCCTTTTATAAATACACCATTCTTTATGGGTTTTCCCCTTTAGTCCATGTCTCAGTGTAAAATTTATATTTGTTCACGAAGTATGCATGCCATTCATTTGCGCTTTAAATAGGGCCTTCAGACAAGTATCGCAAATGGAGTATTTTTTAAGTCGGTACAACAATGCATGACAATTTCTCCTTGAACCATGTTAGAAAATGAGCATGTATGTGACCAGTGGTTGCTTGTACACCGGTACTGTGAAAATAAGAGGTGTTAAATTCCATATAAAGAAATACTATAAGTTTGAAGGTAATAAGTTATTCACACTATAAAGAAAATTAAATAGTTGGGGTATAATTACTCATGATATGGTTTAACTTCAACGCAGTTAATCAAGACATGAACATATGCATATTGCATTTCTTTTTCGGTCAACCAATACACACCCTTCTTTCTAGAGGGACGACGTGAAATCCCGAAGACTGATAAGGTAAATTGACTTATTTCGTTAAAATTTTCTGCATTCCTTATGATTCTTAGAATTAACATCAAGTGATTGAAATAGTGATTGCAAAAATGGGATTTACAAAAGAATGGTGTTCCCATGAAGTGGAAATACCATAAAGAATACTTCGAAATAATTATAACATGAAAATTCAATGAAGTGTTCCCAACTCGATGTTACATATCATAGCAAGACACCTCTAAATTAACGGTAAAATACTTAATACTCCAATGATCTATCTTCCTTACATATGCAAGTTACTCCTAGATATCTGGATGTTATCCACGTGGAGACAACATTCAAACAGAAGGGGTGAGTAATCATAATCAGTTATAAAAGGCATAAGAGAAAAGTAAACTTCAACAATTATAGTCTACGATTCAACAACATCAATATAACATATACTCAGACCTCAATTCATCATAAGTAGCTCACACAACATCTTCATCACAAAATTCACACATGATCACATAACAATCAGAAGTATTATCACATCATATTTCATCAACAAACTCATGCAGTGTCACACAGGATGTTAATGCAAGAACACTGACACAATACATGTGGTACCATAACTTGAATACATAGGTTCAGTTCACTATATGATCTCCACCATAGGATCAATTCCTTCTTAGAATCGGAGTACGCCAAATCGCTACCATCACCATAGATAGCACTTCACTAAATCCCCGGACGAAGGATTTAACTACTCACACTTAAACCATCATCATAGGAAACGAGGCCACAATATAAATCTGAACATAAGTTCCACAACATGGATGCATGGACTCTCAACATGCACAACAACATCATCAACATAATATATTTCAACACAACAATAGCCCTCGAACCATCACCATAAGAAATGAGGCATACAACAATATTTAGAACATAAAGTTCCTCAACAGAGG